GACAACTAATTATAAAATGCAGAAAACAGGTCTCATAAATACACACAACATCTTGCCAGCCAAAAAATAATGTTAAGCAGAACATTTATTTCTCGAGATAATATTGGACACTGAATTCTCCCTTCTCTTTTTATTTCTTTAGTAACATTGCTATGGATTTCATTGCCTCAAGGCATTTTGTGCCAGTGTATATTAGGTCACTCCTCATCTGTTCATGTGACTCAAAATATCAAAATATGGGTTTTCATAACTTTCAGGTTTTTGGTTTTTTTTTAATGTGAGTGTAATTATTGCCAGGTAGAGCACTTACTATCTTTTCATGAAATAGTCGTGAGTTACGGTGAGAAATTAATCAGGAAGAATAAGTGGAGGATTTTCCCACTATCTTCTAATGGCTATATTGTAGGCTGAGGCACTACAGGACCATCATATGTTGTGTATTCCTTCAAAGAACAACAGGAGGAGAATTAAAAAACAAACAACCAAAAATCCTAGTATTTTTCTCAGGATTATTTTTCAGGCATTAGAAATACACCAGTTACCATTATTTGCAAAACTATTTAAAATTTGTATTAGTCTTCATAGTTGGATACTTAATGTTTGTTTCTATTTCTGGTTTATTCTCTAGAATTCATTCACTTTCCAAGTCATTAGTTAATTGTCCTTGTTTGTTTGAAATTGCAGGAACTAGAAATACAGGCTCGTGCACATGGTCTGCCAACTCTGGCTTCTCTTGGCACAATGGACTTAGGTGCTCAGGTCACCAAACAGCAGACTCATCCTGAGCAGAATTCAGTAGACTATTGCCAGCAGCTGACTCTATCTCAGGGACCAAGCCCTGAACTCTGTGATCAAGCTATGGCCTTCTCTGATCCTTTGTCGCACTTCACTGATTTATCATTTAGTGCCGCTTTGAAAGAGGAACAAAGATTGGATGTCATGTTACTGGATGACACAATATCTCCATTTGGAACAGATCCTCTGCTATCTGCCACTTCCCCTACAGCTTCTAAAGAGAGCAGTAGAAGAAGTAGTTTTAGCTCAGATGATGGTGATGAGTTATAAAATAATAAACTGACTCAAGTCATCAACTGGGAAGCAATTCTACGCTGGTGCTATGCAATCATGTTCTGCATTTGCTATACATCTTTGGCTTATTTTTTCTGAAAGGAATATGTTGTTCATGAAAAATGGATTCATTAGAAGCAACAGAGGAATTTACAGGAAGAAGAAGCATGATGTTGAAGAAGTATTGAGAGCTAACAAAGATTTTTTCCTCTGACTACAGAGTCTAGATTTACCTAATGTTTGTCTTTCTAGAAAGAGTAGAGTATGAGAAATAGCTCTCTTCCAGTATTTTAAAAGTGGAAACTTGGTGATGTACTATTGCAACCAACAGACTGCAAAGAGTAAATCTGCTGAAGTGTACAACCCTTCTCTTAGCTGTTCACTTCCATCTTCTTCACTGTTCAACTCTTACAAGATCAGTTTTCCAGGAATCAAGATCAACTGATCTGTTGATTCATTATCTCTCTCCACTGTCTGGCAGTCATGTTGTCTAAAGTTCAAGCCTGATAGGGGAAATAATTGTAAAGTAGATGCTCTGTCACTTGTAATTGAAAGTTGAATACAATAGACATTAGAGTTTTACATAATGAGCTACAGATATTTTATAAAAACATTGGTTACTAAAATTAGATCCTAATTCCTTTAGTCAGTTCAATTACAGTAATCCTAAAAGCCCCCTTGCATATTTGTGGAGACATGCGCTATTCAGAAAAAGGAACTCATTGAATGTTTTCCTCCTGACAACCATGTTTGTAAGAATATGGACTAAAATTTTATTGCTTCACATACACATGCATCAATGCAGGTAGTATGAATTCTTTTT